CCAAAGAAACTCAGAAAGTCATTATTGAAGACCTGTGTATGAAGGACTGTTAATTGTTTCTGAAGTACCAAACAAAGAGAACATTCGATACTCAGTAGTAGATATGAAACATGATAATGTATCAGTTATGTTTAAATGGTTACTCTTAGATTTGGGGGAGCATGGCAGAGAGTGTAATAGAATGATAATATTTTGCAGAAAAAGGCGCCACTGCTCAGATTTGTATGAAATGTTCAAAAATTACTTGGGTGACAAAGCATATGACAAGAGTGTGTCACATTTTAATAGATTGTTTGGGATGTTTCACTCAAAGACAAATGAGAGTGTGAAACAGCACATCATATCTTCCTTTCAGAACCCCAATGGTGTTGTGAGAGTTCTATTCACAACTATAGCATTTGGCATGGGCATGGATGTTAAGGGTGTCCACCAGATTATTCATCTTGGTCCATCCAATGATATAGATGAATATATGCAGGAAACTGGTAGAGCTGGCAGGGATGCCAGTGTCATGGCCAGTGTGGTTTTGGTGAAATATCCAGGTTCTTTGCGAAGCTCTCGTATTAGCAAGTTAATGAAAGGTTATTGCAGAAATGTCTCTTCCTGTCGTAGGAAGTTCATACTTGCAGAGTTTCAGGATAATCCAAAATCCAGTGCTATTTTGCATACCTGTTGTGATATATGTTCTTTAAAATGTAGATGCTTGTGCGCTTGTGATGACGAAGAATGTTTCTGTGAATTTGCTTGTTTGTCACCAGATGAATACCTTTCAAAAGCAGAGACCAACTTACAAAAGGTTGTTGTTGATGAAAAGAGTGCGTGTTCTGGCAAGTTCATAGATAGCGCTCCTGTTCATTTGGTGACAAACATTCAGCGAAAGGCACTAGAAACATACCTTTTTGAATACAGGAGTACTTTGCTGAAATGTAGGAATGAGAATGAAATATTTGTTGGGGCGGATATTGTTACAGGTTTTTCAAGAGCTTTAATATCTCAAGTTGTTAAATATGTGCAATTCATTGAGAACAAGAATGTACTTCAATCAAATTTCTGTTTCTTCTCACCGGTTCATGTAAATAGAGTATGGGACATTGTTTTAGAGGTGCTTGAAGCATCTGATTCTGATTTACAGAGTGATGTCTCAGAGTTTGAAAGGATCAGATAATGAAGATGCAGCAGAACAGAATGTGTTATCACATGATGATATTTTTATTGACAGTGATGATAGTGATACAGTCCTTGCTTACCAACGTA